AAAAACTCGGACGTCCCCCCCCCCCCCCCCCCCACCCCCCGGCGCGAACCCGGCCTGCTCCGTCCCGGCTTTGCGGGGATGCGAGGTCAGTGTCTAACGACTACGGTATGCACGACCATGAGTACCCCCCGCCTCACACACACCTCCATCATCGGCGAGTTCATGATGTTCGCCATCATCTCCGGGTTCGACATCAGCTGCTGCTGCATCCGGTTAATGTCCATCCCGCCCCCGCCCATGCTCCCCATCATCTCGGCGAACGGGTTCGCGCCCCCACCCCCGGCCCCCCCTGGAGGGGTTCCGCCGAATGGGTTCGTCGCGGACGGGGAGGGGTTCGTCCCTGCGGCGCCCCCCGCCGCCGGCATCGACGGGGCCGCTCGCGCCTGGGATCGAACGAGGTGCACCGTGCTGTCTGCCTCCACGGCTAAGAAAAAAAGGCAAACGGGGTTCCAGGACAGGGCGTACGGGCGTGGGGTGTCTGAAGATTTGGCGCCCGCGTTTAGGAAACGTCAATCTGGGTTCGAGGCTCATTTTTTATTTTTCCGTGGCCACCGTCAAGCAAACAGGTCATTATATAGATTTTAGTGTATGATCCACGCCTGACGTGTGGTTAATGATTTTATCAGTAGTCGATTTTTCTTGTTGATCGCCAAAATCTGAACCTTTGTTTCCTAATCGTGGGGGCTAATGCATGGCAATCAGAGTGCAAATTTTGTAAAAAAAAAAGTTGCTGGCATTTCCAGCGGGGGGTTCATTGCACGACTCAACGAGTGCGTGTCTTGGACAATTCCTAGTCAGTCAGGCGCGATTCATGGAGGAATGGGCCTGAAAAAAAGGGGAAACAGCTCAAAGTAGGTACCAAGGTGCTCGGTAAGAATTGTTGGTTGTTGGAGCATGTGCCCGAGGGATAAAAACCAAGATTTCGACAACTGACAGCAGTCGCACAACAACACCTACTGCTGCCGGGGTAACCACAATATTGAGATGTACTCCTCTCGACATTGGTAGGTCTTGCGGAAAGCAAGGAGAATCTTAGATTCGTCCATGAACAACTCTCTGGCGGTGTGTAAGAGATGCTCTTCCTTTCATGTCCTTCCCCAGCAGGCATGACATTGGACCGCTCGTTCCGTGGTCTATAGCTGGGCTACAAGGCCAACAACCCTTTCTTTTTTTGATGCAATTTCCAAGGGTGGAACGCAGGCGCGAAAAATCCAGAGTTTTCCCAGAAAGATTGCTTTCGTACCGCGCGCGTTTTCCATGTGTCAACGCCAGTACATGCCTGGGGTCTTCCAACAAACGGCAGTACCATGCTTCGTTTATGGGAAACGCACAGACGCTGCTGCCCAGCGTCTTTTGAGCTGTTTTGAAGACACAAGCCCGATAGTTGAACTTTGCCACACAGGTATTTCATTACACTCAAGCACCCAAGAACAGTCACAAGACCGAAACCTTGAAATTGCTACGGTGTTTCATTGCACGTAAATGTCAGAATATGCTAGATACGGTATTCCATTGCGCGTCACAAGCACCCAAGACAGTTTTCTCACTGTAGCTGGCGAGGGTGTCCTGGTCCTCCTTCATGACGCGGCCCTTGTAGATGAGCCTCTGCAGCTCCGGCGCTACCCCCGCCTTTTCGGAGATCTTCTGCTTGAAAGCGAGGACAGTCGCCTCCGTGTCCACCTTGCATTCCCACGAAACCACCGCAGGGGCAACAACGACGACAACAGCAGACTCAGCATAAGCCAAGTACCCAGCCGGGTTTTCTTCCACTCACTACTGCTGCCAAGACTTCAACAGGTCCCTTCGACTGCTCTAGGTAGCGATGATTTGTCTTTTTCTAAAACGAACGAGGAACATGAACAAATCGCCAAGAGTGAAAGCGGACAGCAGTGCACAGCGGACAAAACAAACGAAGTGGATGGATTGGCCCACCTCCAGACGAATTAAAAAATCATGATGAGCGAGTTCGGGTGTAAGTATTATAGTTGTTTTCCGGCACAACCATGGCATCCTCATGAGGCAAGCGTCATCCTCATATTACGAGCTTCAAGAGTTGGTTTCTGAAGACGATTCTTAAAGTATGTGCATATCTTTGAACGTAGCTTATAATTAGTATAATAGTATACCACCATCATTCTGAATGTTGGCGCTTGGCATACTTGTAGCACACAGCACGCGACCGTCTGGCACATGCAGCAAAGCAGCACTCTCCTTGCGTATGGACCAGTGCTAGGGTTCTACTACTACTGCTGAAGATGATTGCATGCGGCTGTGTGGTTCGACTAACACGGGTAGACTACCGTAGGTTGCATAAGATATCACACCCCCTGGACCAATATTGAAAGCTCGGTATCTCGGCAGGAAAAACAATGACTGTACCGAAAATGGCTGCGTTAGAACCGTCTCGTCGAGAGCTTTACGAAAATTCTTTTTTCAGTATCGGTATCCTCTTCGTCGTGGAGTAATCGAGCTTTGTAAATCGGTCCAGGGGGTGTGATATCTTATGCAACCTACGGTAGTTGGTTAGTCTGAGATTATTGCTCATGTTTCCTGAACAACTTCGTTGCAGGACTAAAACGACAACCCGAGTCACCATCCGAACGCTCCGGGGGGGTGTAGGTCGCTCGAACCAGGCGTTATTGAATCCCGCCTTTCCATCTACCCCGTTGAAACCCTGTTGCGTTTGTGTGTATACCAAAAGACACAAGAGTCGAGAGAAAATTGTGACACCCGCTCCTCCGTCCGCACCGCGTGCAAAGCCCCGTCATCTCCTTCCGCGGCCCCAAACATTGAGAAAACACGTTGTGCATTGTGCGCGCATGTCTCTCGAAGAACTCAACGCTACAGCAGTAGCCGGTGCCGACCGAGGTGCAAGAGCAGCAGGCAGAAGTGCGCTTGGTGGAAGCTCGCGTTGTTGTCAACCGAATGGAGCGAGGTTTGTTGTGGACACGGGGAGACAAGATTTTCGAAAGAGGTCTTAAGATTCGCCTGAAAGACTTGCTTTCTGCCGCCTGTTGTATTTTCTAGAGAGAACGCGCGTCAACAGACTAAGCCGTGTGATTCAGAGAAGAGACTTCGAGCTCTCGACCACCAGAAAGCGCAGGGCAATGGCATACCAGGGGGTCTCCCTCACCTCTGTGGTGAACTTCTCTCCGTTGGAACACCGCACGTTCACTGAGACCTCCGGCATGTTGACGATGCTGCTTTGTCCTTGATGATACTCTCCTGCGAGGTCGTGAAGGCTACAAATTTCTGATTGAAGTCGGGATTGGAGCCAAAGAGAGGGTTGACGCAACAAGCAGCGATTGCAAACGGTTTTGAGCTGGTCACAAGTGGCGTTGACACGACGCTGACACTAGCTAGCGCGGGCTACAACGGATTGAGTTCAGCAGAGTGGTAGCGGCAGCAGCACCGCAGCAAGGAGCTGAACAGCTTCGGGACGGACGTGCTGATGAGGAAGCTCTTTCTGTCGGGGCAGAGGAACGCGCCGCGGGTTCGCTTCTCACCTCTCGTTCGTGTACACCGACAGCGGTAGAAATATTGAGGTCCGAGGGCTGGCTGTAGAGGGAATGTGAGAGGTAGAGGGGCGGTAAGCTCTCGGTGTGTGAGCAGCCCTGGTACCCGCAGTGGGACACAGATTTCTACCGAAGCCTGGGGGCTAAGCCACAAACTGCTGGTATCTTGATTTCCTGGTTGCGTGCCCCCCTCCATTTTCAAGAGTGCTGCTGCTGGCGTGCTGGCTGGTCGGGGCATCGCAACGAGCAGGAGAGAGAGAGAGAGAAGGATCGAGGCAAAACGTAAACAACCATGGCTAACTTCGCGACGCTGGAGAGCCTGAAGAAAGGCGACGAGGAGGAGAAGAAAGGAAACGCGTACTACGCCGGTGGGGCGAGAGGCGCGGGCCGGGGCGGAAGGTTCGTCTCTAAAAGCGGTACAATAGGGGAGGGAATCTATCCTTGGAAGCATCAATGCACCACAAGCAATGAGACATATTACGCAGCAAGGCTGGTGCACCTAGTAGCGTGAGAGCAGGGCTTCTGCCGTGAACGCGGTGATCCAAGCTCAATCCTGTGTGATTCAACCCTGGAGATTATATTTTTCGAGCCGAGGGCATGTGTGCAGAGCAGAGGACGGCTGATTTTCAAAGATCACCGGAGAACGGGAGCACATTCCGCCGCATCAGGGACACGGGGCATCTTGTGTCAGTCCAGAACAACAACTGCTTGTTGGGGGGGGGGGGTAGGGGGTAGGTGATATTGTCCGCACTTAGGAGAGGTTTCAACCGATGTTGAGCTTTTTTTTATGTCCATGCTGGTCAAATTTCTGTCGATCATGATCTTTCTCCATGCATCCATCCATATATATAGAAGATGCACATTAGATCAACCCAGAGAGAGGTGGGGTAATACTGAGACCGGTACAATCACCAACAACCGTTCCAAGCGAAGCTCTCGACGGCGGCATCTTTGCCAACAGGCCGCCCTTTCCGACGTTTGACACCCTCTTGTGCTTGTGAAGCCAATCGAACTTTTAGGATCGGTCTGTAGTTTGCAAGTGGCCACGGACCTTCATCCTTATCGTATTTAGTTCTTCGCATGGGCAGCAGCAGTATGGCTTTGTCTCCAACCGGGCGCCTGTGAAGGCAAAGAGAGCGACAAGGAGCGGCTGGCTTCGCCGCAGTCTGGAATTCGCCAGGTCATCGTGCACAATACATCAATAGATCTGTATTGTATTGTCATCCTGCCCTATCGCAACCAGACGCGCCAAGCAGCAGTGAACAACGGCGTGCGAATCAGTCTGGTTGGAGTAGCAATAAGACGACAAGCAGAATAGGTGGGTGTTCGGCCTTATCCTCCGCCCTTTTTTTCACGTGATGTGATTGGCTGGGCTGCCACGGGACTTTCACGAGTCTGCAACGCCGCGTCCAGACTCTCTGGCTATCTCTGGTTCAACCTCTCTACACTGGTATTTAGTATCCAGCCGTTCTCTCTCCCACTCACTGCAGAGACTCCCTACAAATCCCCTTCTGCTGTGGTTGTATCTCGATCGGGTAGTCTTTCTGTGTTTTACTTTAGATTTTCTTTAAATACATCCAATTCCTGCTGCTGTTGCTGTGATGATAATCCTTGCTGATTCATGCTTACTCGATGCTGTTTATGCTACACGCCTCTGCAGCGGGCTAAACGTCATGGGCCCTCCGCCCGATGACGAGGGGGAGGGAGAGGGGGGAAACGGCGACCCGCACGTGCAAGAGATATTCCGCCGCGCCGAGACCGGGTAAGTTTTTTTTCTTTTCAATAGTCTTTTTTCTTTTCACTTTTGTCGGCGCGTTTGGAAGCCTCACACAGAACCAGCGGGGTGTAGAGGGAAGGGTCTCACAGAAAGCATGAGAGGGTGCAGCAGTGTGGTGGTGGTCGATGCTGGCGAGAGTCAAAGTAGCCAAGGGTCTGGCAGAGCATGAGGGCGTGCAGCAATGTGGTGATGGTCGATGCGATCTTGCGCTGAGTCCAGCAGCAGTAGTAGACAGGAGCATGTCGGAGAGTGGTGGCTGATTGAGTTCGATGTAGGAGAAGCCGTTTGCCGTCGACATTTGGAGCGTTTGCTTTTCGCGCGTGACGTGGTGAGGAGACGTGTTGCGTGCGAACAAACGATGGCCTCTACAAAATATTGTTATTTGTGCTGTTGTAAGAGGTCCTTACTGCAAAATCTTACTTCGTACCATTACTTCGTTGATGCAAATCTGATACAAAATATTGTTATTTGTGCTGTTGTAAGAGGTCCTTACTGCAAAATCTTGCTTCGTACCATTACTTCCTTGATGCAAATCTGATTATTTTTAGTCAGCATACATAACCTTACAGAATGACTACTGGTTCAAGATATGACCACGGTCGAAAGGGATGTGTGGAAGTCCTTTTAGTGAGTAGAGGGAAACCGGCTGGAAACTGTGCTTATTTTGAGTTTGTTTTAAGCCTATGCACTGAATTTTACCAGTGATACCAGCTGGTGCTAAGAACAAACGCATCTGTACAGCTACATTTTTGTTGTTGTCAAGGTCCTTAAGTGCAACATCTCATTATTTGTGATGAAGGTTCCTAGCGTGTATTAACGTTTCCCCTGTTCCTTCATGCGACTCGCCGAATACCTCACCGTGCTTCGTGCTTGGTGATGTGAGAGCCTGGTCCGGTGAGAACCCGGCGTGCTCCGTCCCGGCTTTGTAAGGATGCGAGGTCAATGGTCTAACGACTACGGCATGCACGACTATGAGTACACCGCCCCTGTTCCGCGCGCGTGCTTCCTCCGCGCAGTGGCCCGCCCGGCGAGGATGGAGGCAACGAGCGGACGATCACGATAACCATGTACAACGGAGGCTTCACCGTGGACGACGGCCCCTTCCGGCGATTGGACGACCCGGCGAACAAGGATTTCTTGAAGGACCTCGCCTCGGGGTAATTGATTGCCCCGCGCCACGGAGGTTACAGTTATTTCAATCGAGTGACGTCACCTGCCCGGCACCCCCCCCCCCTTTCTTTTTGCTCTCTTCGCGGTCGAGTTACACATCATGACGTGCTTGTTGTTCTCTTTGAGGCGTGACAGGAGTCCAGTGTCGAAGGGCCTGGAGGCTGCCGCCTCTGTCAACGACGGGCGCCACCGACTGTTTGACGTTCCTAGTGTACCCCCTCCCCCCACCCTCCCCCTCCCCGCCAATGGCCTCCCCGTACATAAATAAACTTGGCTTTAATTGGGGTACGGGGTTGGGTTGGGGGGTAGTGATAGCGATAGGGATACCAAACCCCCCTCTCTATTTCATAGATTGGAAATAGAAATCCTCGCAAAGGGCGGCCCCTCCCCGCCCACCACCATTTTGTGTGTTGTTAACTCGCGTTGCGCGTGGCTTCTTTCTCGCTGAGGCAGGCTAGTGCCGAAGGAGCTCGAAGCCGGGGCCACCCCGGGCAAGGGTACGGACGTGAAGCTGGTCGACAAGCAGAACGAGGACTACGTCGCACCGCCTTACGTGGCGTTCGGAGGAGATGGGCAGACCATGGGGTGAGTCTACAGCAGATAGTCGAATCGATTACATGAGAGTGGAGCTTCTGTTTTTTTTTTTTTTAATCCTTTCTCCCTTATTTGAAATTCCCGAGCTCGGTAGAGCGGCGGCGGTCGACGGTGGAGGCAGCGGCGTCGCCGGTAGCCGCGCCAACACCGCGCGGCATGACAGCAGCAGCGGTGGCGCCGTTGACCGCCGCCGCTGTCGCGACACCCACCACATTGAATAAGGAAGAGTGGTGGTGGACCGAAAAACGGACGTCCGGAACAGAAAAACGGACATTACGTTCACCTTGTGGAACTTGTGGCACTTGTGGAACTTGTGGAAACTTGTGGAACTTGTGATCTTCTCGTGACGTGGCGAACCCGTGTGCAAGCACGCCCTGAAGATTGCGAGGATGAAGTGGTTCGTTCGACTCGCCGCCAGGTGGTCGGGTTCCGGCTACCCCTACAAGTAGAATCCTTCTTCTCTGAAAGTATTGTTCCGGTCTCGCAATGTTCTCAGAGCAGAAGGATTGTCGGGGTGACCGGAATCCGACCACCGGGCGGCGAGTCGAACTGCTTGTTTCTTGTCATCTTCTGAGTGTGCTTGCACACGGGTACGGTATATCATGAGAAGGTGGGAAGTTCGACGGGAGAGTTGAACATTCTTTTTTTTTTTTGTCCGGCACCAATATATGTTTCCTTTATGAGAGATGGTGAGTGGCGGGATTTTTGGTCCCGGGTCCTCTTCCCGCGTAAAATATCAGACATGTCTTCATCGCCACCTACATCAAACGAACTAATCGTCCTCGATAAGTCAGAGACGTTCGTGGTGTGTGGGCATGTAATGGCGAGGAAGGCCATTGGGCGAGAGCCTTCGTGGACCCATTCTCCCAACCTCCCAGGGATCCATTGACTTAGTTCGCAGCCGTTGGGAAAACCGGCAAAGTGGAACGATCTTCGGAACGGCGATCCGTGGTTCTAAGTAGCAGATCTCTACTCTTTCTTCTGAGACAGCAGTGTCCAATTTTACATGAACACACGATACTCCGGCCTCCGCATGTCCCACCATCTGCCGAGAGGACTCTTCCCTCTCGTCATGCCCATGCCAGATCATTTTCTCAAAACCCAGTTCTAGTACAAACGGTGGGCCCGGATTCGCTACCCCCCCCTTAGTATCAGGCGGGAACGTGGTCGCTTTTGCCGGTATGGCAGCTATTACTAAGTCTGGGTGTCTAGTTGTGCCGCATGTCGCTACGCAGGGTATATCGTTCAACAGTAGTAGTGGCATGTCGCTAAACCGGACGGGCCAACCGCTGCTGCTGTCTCCCTGTGTGTAATAGGGCGTCGACGGTGGCGGAGGGTGCCGTGATGACCGCGACCGGAGCTCCCGATGCCTCGGAAGCGCCGGAAGTCGACGCCTCGCAGCCCTCCACGACGCTGCAGATCCGGCTCCACGACGGGAGGCGCGTCAGGGCGCAGCTCAACATGCACCACACCGTGCGACACATCCAGGCCATCATCGCCAGGTAGAAAATGTGTGCGTGTGATGTAGGTAGCGGAAGAGGCCACGTGCACATACACAGCCTGTAGCGTAGGTTGCCTAAGGTGCCACACACACACACACCCTGGACTAATTTTCATGGAAGCTCGATAACCTCTTGCAGCGAAGAACAGGGAGGGTGCCCAACAAGTGGCGTCCGTTGGAATCGTCACGTCGAGAGCTTTTCCGAAAACGCGTCGTTTGATTTTTAGCGTCGTGTTGGTTGTCTAGGAATCGAGGTTTGAAGATTCGGTTTGGTCCGAATGGGTGTGGTATCTCACGCACACCCTACAGTACGACATGCGTGTTTTTCTCTCGCGCCTTCGTTTGCCGTTTCGATGAAGACGTTTCGGGCGGAAGCCGTGTCTCTCTCGTTGCTGCCCCCTGGATAGCTCTTAAAAGTTGTCTTTTCGTGAGGCGTGTTGGCTAGGCTTGTTCATGAAAAGGAATGGCGTCCTGTGGGCGCTGTTTGGTATTCTTTCTATTGGTCGTAGAAGTTGATGTTTTGAGATCCACTCGATTTCCTGGTGGTTCTTTCTTCGTTCGCGGTATGTACTACATGCGTGATCCTGCATTGAGTGTCAGGCGATTCTCGTACCTTGCTGTGTTTTATGTTTTAAGTTTCCGTCCTACGCTGGCATTTTAAAAAATAAAATCGCTCCGACTGCCGCGAAACCACAGGAATTCCGAAACAGTACCCAAGAAGCTATTTTAGGTGCTCTCACGCCATTGCTCCCATTACTAGATACCTCGCTTCTTCTTTTTTTGTTTTGGTGCCATCAGGGAAGGGGCTGGAGGGGGCTCGTACATGCTCATGGCGGGGTACCCCCCTGCCCCCCTGTCGGACTCGTCGCAGACGCTGGAACAGGCCGGGTTGAAGGGGGCCTCCATCACCCAAAAGCTAGCATGAAGCGACAAAGCGTCGCGTTGTGTTGTGCAGCAGGCGGCGCTTAGTTGAGGAGGTTTGCAGGAGCCGGGGCGTGGCCTCCTCCTCCTCCCCTCATGGCCGAAAGGCATGGACGAAGGCATGGCCAACCTAGAAGTTCGCGAGTAAGCGCCAGAGAGACAGGTTGGGAACATTCGATTGGCGGCTTCGTCCGCCGTGCTTACACGAGCTACTGCTGTAGATTCACACCATTTTTTTGGGGTCGGGGTTGTTTATGATGCCCGGAAACGAGCGGTTCTTTCTCTCCCTCTTCCTCCCACGATTGTGGCAGTCAATTGTGGTTTGGTTTCGATGAAGTAATCGCATTTATATGCGCGCACCACCTGTTTTTGTGTTTTATTTTGTTTTTTCATGAATTGGCCTTTTCCTTCTCGGCGCGATCTTGCGTGGATACCGGACGTCTTGGGATCGATCGGACTCTTGTGCTGTCGGCAGCCTTCTTTGGCCGGAAACGACTGTGGTAGCTGTTTTGACTCTTGATATTGCTTTGTCTTGTGTTTGTCCATAAGCAACAACAACAAAAATGATTTGATCGATCGATCTTGGGAGTCTCTTCCTCAGCAACACACGTGTCTTTTGTAGACGAGTTTCGGCTCGAAAACAAAAGATTTTTTTGGTTTGTTTCTGCTCTCTCTCTCTCTCTCTCTCTGCCGAACGCTACGGAAGGCTGGCTGGCTTGGAAAGTGCGGCGTTTCACAAGAAAAAAAAATATGTATGCACCATTTTCCCGTTTGCTGTCGTTTCGTACCTGCAGACACTTTCACCCACCAGGCACCAATAATCCATAAGTTTTTAAGATCATCGTCGACGTATGCTACCACATACATATGTGGTCTAAATAGTGCGGTGGGACATGCCGCGGGGGAGGTGCCCGGGATGCTGTTGATGCTGCTCACCCACGCTAGCTCAGTCAGCGTTTCTTCTTTTCGCGATATTGGTGGCGGTGACGATGCCGCTGCTGCCGCTGATCGGTTATCTCGCTGATCGGTTATCTCAGTGGGTTGCATGCACCAGGAGAAATCATGCAATACATGCATGGTGCTGAATGCTTCGTTTTCGTTTTCGTTTCGTGCATGACCAAAACACGATAGTATTGTGTTTGGTTCCTTGATTAAGTGCGTGCCCAAAAGCGTGTCCAAGTAGTAACAACAGCAGTGGAAACCCCGGGCGGGGATAGGTCGTAGTGTCCCCTAGCTGGATGAGAGAAATTGTTCAGCCAAGTTGGCGTTATTTCCCGAGATGTTGTCGTAGTGTAGCCTCCTCTACACAACGAAACAACCGCCAAACCCTAACCTTCTTACCACATACGCACCTCAACTCCAGAAAAATAAAGTGGTAAAACCTACAGCCCTCCGCCAACTCAATCTTCTGGAAAATAACAGCCAACCCTATGCCGGTGACCCTGAATTCCGGTGGCACTATCGCCTTAGCGCCCTTCCGCTGCCGCCGTCCCCTCTATACGGCTCCTGTGCTCGCCGTGTTGGACAAATTATTTATCCCTGGTATCGACGGCTTGGGCCGTATTTCTTAAACTTTCTGCGGAATCCCCTCTGTCGGCTGAAGGATCCGTCCAGCCGGGAGCCCTCTCCCACCTCCGTGATGGAGTTCACCAGGTCCTAGTTTAGGTTTGAAAATGAGTGATTGAGGGCGTGAGTGATTGATGGATGCGACCAAAACAGCTGTCACCAGACCGCAAGGCGGGCACGACTTCTTTCTACTCGTGAACGGATGCTTCGTGTTTGGTTCTCAATGGCCACCCAAGTATTTGCTACGGTCGCTCGCACCTATTGCACCTATCCTACAGTCTTGCCAGCTTAGATAATGTCAAGCTCCCTTGCATGATAACAGAGGAAGACCACATGCCGCGGGAGGGCGGAGAAGTGGAACGAAACCAAAAAAGCACAGCGGATGAAGCAATCCAAGACACACATCCCGAATGCTGCCGTACCTTGGTCAAGTCGTCGTAAAAGTTTGTGGCCTTGCCCGTCCTCCCCGCCCTAGCCGCTCGGCCCAAGCGATGCAAATGTTGTACCTTTTTCGGACACCAACAGGACGTTTTGATTGGTTGGTCCACACACACGAGAGGTCAGGAAAATGGGGTGGCGGCTTGGCTTTACCCCCAAACGCTTGGCGCTCATGGTCGTTCCAGATATACTCCTGCTACTGCTGCTGCTCTATGCCACAACTACCGTCTTCTACTATTTCTACGTCTCTACTACTCCTATGCTACATTACTAATATTGCGATGCCTACGAATACTACTGAGTCTAGGACTACCACTACTACTACCATTATTACGTCTACAAAACTGCTACTACTGCTGCACTACTACTACTACTACATTCTGCTGCTGCGACGACGACTACTTTGCATACTGATACGACCACATAATGCTGCTTTGACTACTGCCTCTACGGCTGCATGATTGCTGAACTCACCACGTTGGTGGCCATTTCCATCTGCACGATGTTGGTCACGGACGGGACGTCGATCCCCCTGACAAAAGAGCACAACAACAATAAACGGAGCAACAGAGGACAGATTTTACTTTGTGCTTCTGGCATGAATGCACCACACGATTCGTGCCGTTTACTGATTTGCTTGGGTGAAACCTATCGTCCTTCGGCACGCGTAAGCACGGGATTTAATCTTCGCAGGAGCAAACATGAACAAGAACACTCCGTGTCCCAAGCGTGAGGAAGACGAACAGCACTCGACTTCGACGCGAATGAGACACTTCCTACTGCTGTGGACGCGCAAGTTGAAGAACAACAAGGACGTGTGTGTGTTTGTGTTTGTGTGTGTGTGTGATTCTTGAAATAGCATGGACCACGCTAATCGGCTGACCAGCGAACAGACGTCAATCTTGCAGACAGCGGATTGAAACAACGTGAACAGACTGCTGTGCGGGTTTCCTTTTTCATAGCATGGGCCACGCCAACCGGCCGACCCGTCAAAAGAGGTCAGTCTTGTAGCGAGAATAAGAAAGACGAATACGTTTCTAAACAAAATGGTGAGGGTTCTACGTGTGCGAGAGAGTGCGCGCGCAAGGGAGAGGGACAGAGAGAGAAAAATACAAAAGAGGCGAGAGAGAGAGAGAGAGCGAGGGAGAGAGAGAGAGAAAGACAGAGAGAGACTGGCAGAATGCCAGCATGCCAGAAGGAGGCAAGAGTTACCGTGCTGCTGTACCTGGCCGCCAAGTCAGTGCAGACGAGGATCTTGGCCCTCCCGCTCCTCAGGGCATGGAGGTTCGCCAGCCGCTCTAGAGGAACGATATCCTTGTGGTAGGGCACCACCGAGAACCCTTCCTCAGCCAGAGCCTCGTACGCTCGCTAAAAGGAAACAACCGGTAAGGGGGGGGGGGGGGGGGGGGGATTCCAGGGGGGGGGGGGGGGGGGGGGGGGGGTCTGGGGGCTCGATAATCTAAGGGATGCAAGGGCCGACCCCTTTTACAAGGGCAAAGGTTGGGCGTGGGCTTCCCGTTCCTGCCACACGTGCCGCCCTCGTCTCTCTCTATTTTGAATAAGGGGGGTTGTCTTTCATAAAAGCG